GTGTCTGTGTGTCTATTAAGCTATATACAATCACATTAATGGCCAAGTTTTGACGTGCCACTTTCAATATTAAATGACAAGCTATTTGTCATATAGTATGAATACTGTGAATAGACAAGCTGCTCTAGCATTAAAATCGACTTGAGAGATTAAGGCGATTGCTTTTGGCTGTGAAACGCAGATTTCAACAAAACACACACCAATATACGACATTTCTTCAACAAAAAATAGACGATCTACCTTGAAAATTTATATTTAAAATTTATAAACATTCCTCTCGGTATATCCAACTTCCTTCAGAACGCCCGTCAGCTCTCCCTGCTCTGTCTTCGATTTTTTTCTGCCCGAAAATGAATCGTATAGTGAAGGAGGTCCGCAGATGTACACAAACTCAAACATTTTGCTTCTTATCACTGTTAGAAGCATGTCCTTTGTGAGAGTCCCGCTAATGTGCTGGCTGTCTGGGAATTCAGTACCTTGGCTGAAAATATGAATTATCTGAAGCTTGCCGTTGGATTTTTTCTTTAAAGTCTCGAGCTCGCTCTGCAAAAACACGTCCTTATCTGTCCTGTTCAAAAAGAGAAGTGTGAAATCAGTCGCATTTATTCCTGATAGGATGTGCTCCCTCAGTAGCTGAAACATTGGTGTTACTCCCGTACCGCCGGCAATCATAAGGACATTTCTAAATTCATTCAGTCTGTTCTCCCGCACCTGAACTGCTTCAGAGACAGTAATAGTGTCATTCACGCTCTTATTGCACAGGTATGTGGATAGTGTTCCCTCAGGATACACTTTTATTGCGAATGCTATGTGTCTCTTTGATACGTACAATGGCGAGTATGGCTTTCTTTGCCCCCTGTCGTCGAAAACAAGAACATGAAAGCTCACCTTTGCCTGGGGTAGATCCTCATCCGACTCTACCTTCATAAAAAAGGTGTTGTGGGTCATGTGACGTTTTTCAACAATTTTCATTGTTCTCTTCTTGATGTTGCCATCGCTCATTGAAGGGGAGCATACGAACAAATAAAAGCAATAGAGAATAAACCGGTAAAAGGTTTTATACTATCAACTGGTGTACTTAGATGGTATAAGCACTGGAAGTTTGCCTGCCTTATGAAACATATAATACCATAATCGACATAAATTTTATATTCGTGTAATAGCATAATGCTTAGAGACTGCCACCTTGAAGAGCAAGGGATTAATTATAAAAAACCCACAGCAATACTTAGCTTATAACTATTGTGCAAGCTAATGCATGCACTGGGAAACAAACCATACAATATGCATACTGCTTACTAGCCAGCTTCTACAATTAATATTGAAAGCTAGGCGGTGTACAAATTAAGCTGCATCCTAGGCCCATAAATATTCTCTTTTAACTACCAAAAGCCATTTCAATATGTCAAAATTAATTAAAAACATTAATCGAGACTAGTGAATTTACTCAGAAATAGCTGGCGTTTCCGTAGCCTTCAAACTCAATATATCACTAAACCCTTGAAGCCCATCCTCACTCTCCAGCGCCTGAATCTTCTGTGCATACTTCTCGTCTATTGCTGCCTCCATCTGGTTTAGAATCTTTGCGAGCCTTGTTCTTGAATTATTTAGACTTTCGTTCCTTATTAGCGCCTTTCTGGCTTGGTTATAAAATACTGCATCCGTTTTATAGATCAGGTCAATAAATTTTTCACAAATGAGAGTTCTTTGTAGCTTTTTAAAATCACTATACTTTTCATTTTCAATGTCAATAAATCCCCAGGCATATCTTCTTCCCCTTACGCTACTGCCATCCTCTTCATAAACATTCTCGGAGGCTATCACTGCCAGCGGGAACTGGGTGCTGTCGTTTTCTTCATAGTCGTAGAACTGTATGTTCCTGAATAGTCTGTTGATCTTTTCCCTATGGTCTTTGAGTTCCTCATCGGTGAACATATCAGCTTTGGTTATTACAGGTATTATGTTAATCTTAGAGCCGAGCTCCTTCAGTCCCTCAATTTCATAGTCGGACATTTTATCTCCCGGTACAAGGTACAGGCAGCAATGCATCCTTTTGTCGGGAAAGCTAACACTCAGCCCTTGCTCCATTTCAAAGTGCTCCTCATTGGCTGTATTGATGTATTTAATTACCTTGTTTATATCCTCTCCATGGTAGGTGGTGACGGATATTGTAAGTCTAATGCCATTCTCTACTATCTCGTTGACCGTTGTGTTGATAGAGTCTGTTCTTTCTTTCTTCACTAGCGGTGCTGAGAAGAGCGAGTTGATGAGTGTTGATGCACCTAGTCCTCTTCTTGAAACCACAAGAAGATTGAAATAGAAGCCATCCCTGATGGACTGTTGTCTTACTTGCTCCGGTATCTGTGAAAATCCAATACCTGTTGTTAGGTTGAGACTATCGTAGTTGTGGTGTATTTTTGGAATGGTGTCCTTCATTGTGTTTACAGCCAAGAAAGATTAATGAAATTGTCAAATATAAAGAAACAAATAGAAATGATAAACAAATAACCAAGGAAAGTGGGATTTCCAAACAAACAGGGTATACAAAATTTATTCAATTTACCAAAATAACCAGACACATCATACTGCTTACAAGGTCTATGCACCAATATTGGAACAAACGCTGCCAGCAGTTCTACCAGGCATTCATCTGCTGAATATTTAACAATCCAAGAATAAAAGTTATAAAACCAGCTAGAATAAAGTTTTCGTTGTAAGACATAGTTAGTTATTTAACAATATCAATTACCTTCTGAACCCTGTCTCTCCACTCGACAAACTTCATCTTCATCTTCTGAAGTTCTTCACTATCCAATGCCCTGGGTAGTACACTATCAAAAAAGAGTATTCTCTCCTCAGAGTCAATCCATCCCTTAACGATCCCCAATCCCAGTGCACGAAGCAGCAGTTTGATCAGCACATTTTCGTCTACCTGTAGCTCCGACATAAACTGGTCAAAGGTAACGAACTTTCTGTTCAGACTTAAAGCATATTTTGATAATATTTAGAAGATGCACCTTGGTGGTAAGCTGGTCAACATTGTTAGTTTTAAGAATATTAAAAATGTCTTTGGTGTTGATGCTGCTAATGTCGCCATCTGAAAGACATAGGAAAAGATTTCTCAACGGGGCGTTGCTCAGGCCATCAAACTCTTTAAAGGCCGATACTGCAGAGAAGTCAAAGAATGTAGAGGACTTAATGGAGAGCTCTACCAGCTTCTCAATATTGTAGACTGCGCCTGTTTGCTTCGCATGTAAAAATAGGTAGCTTTGCGCTTCTTCACAATTTCCTGTGCTTTCATAAAACAGTGCTGCAACGAGATACAGTAAATTTAAGTTATCGTTTGAAAGAGCGGCGTCTTTTAGCGCGATTATTTGGCTTTCTATGTTTTCAAAGTTCTTTTGTTTTATTGAAGCAATGTAAAAGTGCAGCCTGAGAGTGGCAATTTCTTGAAAATAGCTGCTCTGACTAACAAAACTCGACTCTAATGTAGAGATTGCAGTTTGGATAATACTGCTTGCCTTTTCTGGTGAGATGTAACTGAAGAGAGCGACTATTGCCGATGTTAGACTCATTGGGTGGATCTTTACCGCATTTCTAGACAAAATATCCAAGGAAAAATCAAGATCAGCATCAGACAGAGAGTTAACGACTCCACGCTTGATATGCTCAGTCATATCAAACCATTTTCTTTCGCTTTCTAGTCTTTTGAGTTCTTCTGAAAAAGACATAAGGGTAAGAAAACTTTACAAACAAGTAGGGCTCTTGCCCCGACTGAGACATGAGCAAATAAAGGAAAGATAAGCAGAAATACTAAGGATTAAATTGCCATAGTAATGCCAATTGTCCAAGCATGCATGACATTATTGGCACTGCTGTATTTAGATTCAAAATCGCCACAGCACCCTTCTCGTGATGAAAATTCAGAAAGTCTGCAATGCGGCCGTATTCTCTTCGGATTTAAACTTAGACACGTTGCTTTATTCAGAAATA